TCTTTAGTAGTTATTCTGACTTTACAGTTAAATATTGTGCATAACAAATTGTTTTAAATGTATTGTATGTAATTGTGTGAAAGTGTGAGAAGTTTAAATACAGTGCTATGATGGGAGTAAGTTTTAGTACTACTTCTGAAATACGCAAAGAAGCTCCGGAAGGAGGACTAAGGCCCATAAAAAAATCGTACCAAAAGTAGAGTGAACAGCAGACAGTTCACTTATGATGCAGTAGTTCATACGCGGTACGTGCCATCGTGCATAGTTTTTTCTTTAAAAATTTACCGCCGACATTCAATAAAGCTTTTGCACTAGTTAAAAAAGGCAAAGATTTAGAAAAAGAAGAATAAAGTCAAGCATGATTGAACGGCCCGATATTCTAAAATGGAGGCATCAGTATTTGAGTGAGATAAAAAAATTTCGTTTTCAAGGATACACTGTCGTTTATTTGGACGAAACTTAGGTGAATGTTAGACATAGTGATCTAAAGAATGGAAGAACCTCTCAGTGACTTCAATCAGAGATGCGTTCGTTAAGGTGTTGTCAACAGGCCTAAAACAGTCGACACAAAGAGGCCCCCGGATTTGTTATAGTGCATGCGGGTAGCGAATTGGGCTTTGTAAAAGATGCTGCTTTTTTTGTTTTTAACTAAAAAAACCTCAGCGGACTATCATGATGAGATGGATGGTCCTATATTTGAACAATGGTTTAAGGAAAAGCTGCTTCCTAATCTTCCAGAGAAAACTGTGCGGTGATGGACAACGCTTCGTACCATTCGAAAAGAGGAAAAGTGATTCCGACATAAGCGTTTAATAAAGATCAAATTAAGACATGGTTGCTGGAGAAAGATATCTTTTTTGAAGAAGATTATTTACAATCATAGCTCATGATTAACGAAAGAGAAAAATGTTGCCATTCTGAGACTACCTCCATAGCATTGTGAGTTAAATCCAATTGATGGAGTCAAGTCAAAAGACATATTGCCTCACATAACACAGAGTTTAAGAAGACCCCCGCTATGGAACAATTAATAAGAAATGCGTTTGGTGTAGAAACAGTGGAAAACTGAAAAAAACTATTGTAAACTTGATATTAAGGAAGAGCAAAAATTTTGGGTTATTGATGGGTTGATGGACAATATTGATCCTGTGGTAATAAATGTGAGGGTTGATAGTGACAGTAATTTATTTATTTATTTATCAACGGGCAATCGCCCAATTAAAATACAATGTAAATATTATTGATAAATTACAGTTGATCCTTAACGTAACCTACTTAAATTTAAAAATTTCAATCATAGAAAAAATAAAAGTTGGAACAGTAAATAACAAAAATTAACAAAGAATGTACAAAACACACGGACATCAAGCTATCACACACAGTTCTTAAGCTGAGCTATAAGAATCCAACCTTTGGGAATAATGATTAGCAAACCTTGAGTCCGTAGTTTGTGTGATGGGGTCTAACATAAAAGGGTTGATTTAGCCTTGTTTGTCTACTGAGAACATGGAGATTAATTTTTTCCAATAGTTGAGGACCAAAAATAATAGAGTGCAGTATATTATAAAACATAGTGAGATCCTTGTGCATGTGTAGGATTTGGAGAGAAGTTATATTGAAGGACCTTTCCATATTTGAATAGTTAATTTCTTCAATCCTCTGGTTTTGTTTAAATGCAACAAATCTTAAGAATTTGTGTTGAACTCTCTCAATAGCTTGAATATGGGTGTTATAGTGAGGAGATCAAACACATGAACAGTAATCTAGGTGGGGTCTCACAAGTGAACAATACAACATTTTTATGGATGGGATATTTAGAAAGTCTTTGGCACAATGTTTAATAAACCCTAAAAGTTGAAGTGAATTGAGACAACAGATGAGATATGGGGATGTAGGAGCTGGAATTGAGCACAACACCTAGGTCTTTTATCTGAGATACAGAGTCTAAAGGGCAACCATTGATAGTATAGATGTAATGTGAGCGTAGCAAGTGAGTGAGAAGTTGAAATAAAGGACTAAGTAGCATAGAAAAGATAATAATTATTCGAGATACTTAATTATTATATATTCCAAATCAAATAAGGGATAATTATTACAGTAAAATTTGCATTTTAAATCACACAAAGAAATTGACCTAGTTATTGCATTGTTTGATAATTGTTTAAACGTAGAAAAGCACGTCAAACAGAAACTGTTATTGTAATGCAATATAGGACCTACAATTCAGCGAAAACGTAACCTTGGACTACAACCGGTCAATGAGGACACCATTTGATAAAAACCGAACTAAGGAGGCCAAGTAGTCAGTGATAGCTGGGCACCGTGGCTGGACGCGATAGCGTCCAGTACGCGATCAGTACGGGCAGTTAGTAATGGGTAGTCAGTAATAAAAGTCAGTGGTAGTAATACGGCGGAAGCGGTCCGTAGTAGCGGGGCAGCTGTGCCTGCCGAGGCAGTAATTGCCTCCAGGAGCGTCCAGTACGCGAGGGTCGGTAATTCTCCGGGGGACGCTTATCATCCGGCCTAGTATCGCGTGTAGTCCGGTTATTGTGGCAGCTCGTAAGTTCGTAACTCAGGAGGAGAACCTCAACTGACCGAGTTCCAGAAGACTGAACGTGTCGTGGTTGAAAGCCCTAATACGCACATAAGGTAACAGATTTCTTTATACTAACCTGTGTAATTATATTAGTACAACTGTCAACTCTTCACTATCTTGCTTCATCGTCTCCCGACGCGCAGAATAACGTGTTAACGATTGTATTTGTAACTTCAGGGTAGATTCAATATATTGTTGACTCTAAATTAGTTTTTTTATGTTCCTTTCGTCCGACTCTCTAGAGACTAGGAGAACACGAGATTCTGCTTATGCATATCTCCGGCTTCAAAAGTAAGCCCATAACCTCTGCTCTTTACAGGACCTGAGACCTAGGAGTCCTTACCCCTATCCCGAAATTCCTTATCTTCTCGTAAATCCACGAAGACGAGCCAGCCCTCCAGACCAGTGTGACCAGTATTCCTTGCAGCCGCTCGCAGGGTTAGCATCCGTTGAGGATCTATTGTGTATTTCATTTGGTGACAGCGTTTTCCTTACCTTCACATAACGCTCCCATTCCTATTATTTTACAGTGGTGACACCGAAGTCGCCTCTGATTATTACATAGACAGGATTTGTAGGAGTTTTATTCCGACCAAAAACTATTAAATGACACTTTTTAACATTAAGTTCGATTCCGTTTCTGTCACACCAATAGCTCAACTGATCGAAGTCAGACTGTAGTTTTTGATAGTCACCGTCATTCTCAATTTTTAAATATAATTTTAAATCATCAGCAAACATTATGAAAGAAGCCAAGAAGAAACAGGAGGCAATGTCATTAACATAGTTATTGAATAGAGAAGGTCCTAGGTGTGCTCCTTGAGGTACTCCTGAAAGTACCTTAATCCCAAAAGATTGAAAACCCTGAACACATACTTATTCTATTCTTTCAGTTAGGTAGGATAACAACCTATCTAAAAGTTCACCCTGGATACCCAGACTCCTCAACTTTTTGATTAAAATCTTGTGATTTACCTGGTCAAAAGCCTTTGTAAAGTCTGTGTATACAGCATCAACCTGGAAGCCATCTTCAAGAGATTCTGTAAGGCGATCAATAAATGTCAATAAATTAAGTCCAGTGGAGCGGCTAGGGAGAAATCCAAATTGCTGGTCAATAAAACAGCCTTTTAAAGTTGATGACAAATAGTCACAGACAAGGCTCTCAAAAACTTTGGGGCATACAACTTGGAATGCTAGTAGGCTGATAATTGTTCACTTGAGAATTATCTCCAGATTTTAGTATTGGGATAATAAAGCTAGTTTTCCAGTACACCAGGAACATCCCTGTCTTTAAGGACAGGTTAAAAATGTGAAAAAGAGGTCTAGAAAGTAAAAAGCTAAAGTGTTTAAGAAAAGAAATAAAAGTGATAGTGATTATTATAGTGTTACATTGTCTAAGAGCATGTGTGCTTGGTTGTATAGTAATTTTCAGCCACTAATAGTGTGTCAAAAAGTAACAAACTTCGCAAAAAAAATAATTACTAAATTCACTAGATATTTTGGACTGGGAATACTGAATTGACTATACCTAATTAAAACAGATACACACCTAAATGCTTTCATAATTTCCTCTTTGGAATCCTTTTCTGCCATTTTGACAGACATTAACTGCAAGAAATCATCAAAAGATATTTCCCCAGTACCATCTTTATCTATATCAGCAATCATTTTCTTGATTTCTTCTTTCTTTGGTTCAAATCCTAATGCCCTTATAGCTACTTTTAGATCTTTGGCATCTATTTTACCAGTAGATTCATTGTCAAATAGATCAAAAGCTTCTTTTATATCATTTTTTTGCTCATCACTTACTTCAAACTTGGGACCAGACTTCTTTCTGACTGTTGTCGCTGGTTTCTTATAGGAGGCAGACTAAAAAAAAATACTGTTGAAATATCTCTTGGTTCAAATAAACATGCAGAAAATTTACAACACACTAGGGCTTCTATGTTTACATTAAAGAAGAGTACTACAGTGCACTTTTATATATACATCAATTCAATGAAGCATTTTATCAATGTATAATACATTAAATTAAAAAACTAAGACACTAAAATTATGACCGAAAAATAGAATTATATTTTACTCACCATATCTGTTTCGACAAAATACTGTTATTAAAGATTTAACAGAATGTTGCGTTGCTATGTAGATATAAACAAAACAAATAAGTGTGAATTTTTTTTAAATACCACAAATATAATGAAATATGAAATAGGTTAGATATTCACAATAATTCTTATCTGATCAACATTACAGGACAGAACTTGTTATAGCTTTCTTTTGCATTTTAATCAGATGAAAAGAGACACATCGCAGTAACTTTAACAGAGATAATTTTGTATTAATGTTCTGTGGTGTGGTGCAGTTATAATGTCAAACTTCAATTTAAACACTCAAACTGTCTCAAACTTCAAGATAATGTGTCAACAAAATTGTTATAAAAAATGGTTATTTAAATATTAATATAATTAAATATTAGAGAACTCATAAATTATTAATACCGGTGATTTGCGGATATATTAAGTTAATATATGTGTTACAAATATCAAATTTAAAAATGAATAGCGTGGGTGCAGAAGTTGGACAAAAAATGCGAGTAAGTATAACATAACATGGCATGATTCTTTTAAACCGAACTTTCTCCAAAACTATTTTTTGTTATTTATTTTGTAACTTATGAGATCTAATAAGACTTACATTTTTAGTCGGCTATTAAAGCCAAACTACTAGAATTACACTGTTATGTTGGTAAGTTATTTAACAATACCAAAGCAATGATATAGATATAGAGCAAATGTTTTAGATGATGAGTTACCAGATTACATAATGGTAATGGTAGCAAACAGAAGAACCAAAGCCCAAATGAATGAAGATCTGTATTTATTTTTAAATGAAAAAACATCCCCCTTTGTTGAATGGCTTCATATTGTCCTGAAGAAGCTGAAAGAAGTAACTGTAACTAATCCAGGTACAGTACAATATAATTTGTAGCAATATTATAGATAACATTATTTTGTATTTCATTATCACTTTTTGACGAAACACTTGTTTTAAATCATTAATTAACAGTAACATAAATGAGTGGAATATTGGACAAAAGGGGCATTAAGTATTTGATACCTTATATGAACTACCTTGATGAACTCTTTCAGTGCAAGGGTATGCTAGGCATGCAAAACTAGAATAAGTGCCCTTCATTTATTCTAAATTTATTTGTATTTATTTTATCTTTTAGAAATTGTACAATCTTTAGTAAAACATGATGTAAATAGTTTTAACAAATTTTATTCTTCTTGTTTTAATTTTTACAAAAACATTTTAATAGGAATATTAATTACTAATTATTACATTTTTTATGTAAAATGAATGTTTATTCAGCTACAAATCATTCATTTACACTCTATAACTGCTGACACAAAACCTATAAACAACTCTAAAGAAATTAGAAGAAAATAAACAAAGTATTTGGAATAAGTGCAAAGTTGTTAGTTTATTGAAACATATTCTATTTACCAATAAATTTTATTAGTAAAATACCACAATTGTAGTGCTCATGTTTTAATGCTTTTTTACAGGCCATTAGAATTGGATCTTCATGCTTTAAAAAAATTTTTTTGTTTGGGGCAAAAGTAGAAAATTTAATTATTATTTAATAAACTATAAATTAGTGGATTATTTCAGAATCTGTTTAATGTCTTGAAAATTGACAAAAACCTGATTTTTCAAAGAATATACATTTAAAACCATAAAATAGTTTCGACACACAATTCAGATTTCTGCTTTAATCTGTGCTCTCTAAAAATTGCAAAGCAAAACAGATGTTGATAAAGGTGTTAAAAGAGACGTGGGGAATCAAAAATTTGCATTCCAAGACACATCTTTTCAACTAAGCAGAAATCCTTAGCGAATTGGTTTCTAGTACTCATACACAGTAGATCCGAATAAAGTGAAAAGACAGCAAATATTTGATTTCACACAAACAGCGCCTTTGTATCTGTTGGTACATATTTTCGACCTAATACTAATAGGTCTCATCAGAACAGTTATTCAAAGGTGTTCTCTACGTGAAAGATCAATATTTTCTGTCTTTTAAGAAGCAACACTAAAATGGCTTCAATATGGACGCAATAGCGACATCTGACAATAAAACCGTAAAATAGTTTCGAAACACAATTCAGATTTCTGCTTTAATCTGCGCTTTCTAAAAATTGCAAAGCAAAACAGACGTTGATAAAGGTGTTAAAAGAGACGTGGGGAATCTAAAATTTGCATTCCACAACACATCTTTTCAACTAAGCAGAAATCCTTAGCGAATTGGTTTCTAGTACTCGTACAGAGTAGATCCGAATAAAGTGAAAAGACAGCAAATATTTGATTTCAATTGAAAAGATGTGTCGTGGAATGCAAATTTTAAATTCCCCACGTCTCTTTTAACACCTTTATCAACGTCTGTTTTGCTTTGCAATTTTTAGAAAGCACAGATTAAAGCAGAAATCTGAATTGTGGTTCGAAACTATTTTAGGGTTTTATTGTCAGATGTCGATATTGCGTCCTTATTGAAGCCATTTTAGTGTTGCTTCTTAAAAGACAGAAAATATTGATCTTTCACATAGAGAACACCTTTGAATAACTGTTCTGATGAGACCTATTAGGTCAAAATATGTATCAACAGATACAAACGCGCTGTTTGCGTGGAATCAAATATTTGCTGTGTTTTCACAATATACATTTAGATAGAAGAGATCTCATTTTATATGAAATATATTTTAATAATTTGACTGTTCCATTTTTAAACTGTTCAAATGTTTTGGCCAAAAATTTGGGTTCTAGAGAAAATGTAACATTGTCAGAAAACATAATCGTTTGTAGTGTTATTAGTGGAAGGAACTGTAACATTTACTTTAAGACAAATAATAAATATGACTCACAGTAATAATAGTGAACTGTGTACCAAAAAGAAATGTCACAATTAAACATGTGAAGACTAAAATAAAACATGATCTGAAATGTGTTTGAAGGACTTCAAGCCAGAGAACAAAATATGAATATAAGATATGTAGTTACATTACATAGTATTTTGACAAAAGTTTCAGAAGCTAATGTGCACAGAGTAATTAAAACAGATGATGAAACAAATGATAATAATACTTTGAAGGTTGAGACAAGAGGAAACAAACAAATAAAATTGGATGATACAACCAAACAGGCCATTCATTATGCAGTATTTGAATTGTATTTTAAAAAGGAATTATAATGATATAATGAAAATATTCAATTCTGTCTAAACAAATGTCATTTAGGATATCTCATTAGCTTTGAAATGCTTCAAGCAGGATAGGAAACAGTTGTTTAGTAGAAATGGTCCTGTAAAATATATGCCACAGTGAAACTTGCTATTGCATATCTGGCAAATGAAGGTTTAGATTTAATAAAACAAGGAATAAAATTTCTTACAGTTTTTCTTGCAAGGTCTCTTTCTCAAATTGCCCAATAAGATTGTTGAATTGATAACGAAAAAGTTGAGAAACTGCATGTAATAGGAGTTTATGTTTATATTCAAATAGCAACTTAGTAAAAGGATGGTTAGGTGAAATCAATATAGGGTATTTAATATGTCTAATACAGATAATCTAAGTCACCCTCCAACTCATAATACATGCTATCTAAAAATGGAGTAAGATTTCAAAATTTGTTATGGGTGGAAATGGTTTATTGGAATTTAAAAAGATATTTCCTCTGCAAATAAATCCAATTGTAGTTTAATTAGCTGCAATGGTGCTTGCTTTACTTTTGAAGAAACTATAGACCTGAAGGACCTATCATTCTTTATGACCTTTTTTTACAAGTGTTATTGTGAAATCGAAGACAATATGTAACTAACATCATGTTTTAAAGTTGAAATATCATAATATCGAGAAGATTTTAGAAAGAATGGTGTAGAATGGGTAGCCAATAACATCAAACTTTCAACCTTTTGTTCAGGAAGTTGTATTTCAGGGATGGCAGGAGGCGCATTACATTTGACTTGATATCTTTATTAATTTTGTTAGTTTTTCAAGAGTGGTATTTTTCGTATTTATTAGATATTCTTTGAACAACTTTAAATCAGTTGCAAAAGGTAATAATGTAATAATTGTATTCCACTTTTAACTCCACTTATGATATTTTTTGAGGCAGACTTTAAATTATCCAACATTTGATAATTACTTGAAGGATCCACAGACTGTATTATTTTTGTTTGAGTTCATTATTACTACTGAGGTGGGTCTCACATCATCTTCATTTTCGTTTGAGCTAAGAGGTTCATTTATACTGTAAAATAAAGCAATATGTACAAAATTTGTTTGACTTATGAATATTAATAACTTATTTATTTATTTATTCACGGATATGCCATATACATTGGAACAAAATATAATATATCAAATTTTACAAAGTAAGCACAACATTGGAAAATAATTAGTAAAGTTTAACAAAAACCAATAATTAACTTGAATACAGACTAATATTACACAAATAGCAGTCTCTTTATCACATTTTTAAATTGTTCTAAGGACTGGAAAAATAAGTCCAGATCACTTTGGTACCTATTATATAGTCTCACCATATGAGTAAAAACTTAAATGTTTAGGGGGCAAGAGTCTATCGTTAGGAAAAATTATCTTTCTTTTGTGCCGAGAATACAACAAAATATTAAAATTTAACTTATTGGGCACAGATTATCTATATTGAATCCACTGTTGCCAACACTTGCCTTAACGTGATACAAATTATGATTATGTACTCTGAAAAGTATATGAGAGCTCAATCAGCACGCTTTTGACATCTAAAACTATAATATACATTTATTGTATATGTTTTTGCAAAATTAAAGGCGTGCCTTTAAAAATTTTTTAGGATATAGATGACATTTTAGACACTTTTAGCCTAATGTACCTGGATGCTCTTATGATAGTAGAAAAACAATGTATGGACGCTTTATTAATTTATTGATCGCAAATTGTATATGTATTATATATATATTTCTATTTTTACATTTTAAATAATATTGTAATTATAATTATTTTTTAGAGGTGTATAAGAAAGTGGCTAAAAGAAAATCAAGTGAAGAGCCAGACATTAAAATAAAAAAAGAAAAATTTAAAAAATACTCTGATAATGTGAAAAGCGAATCTAATAGTCCCAAAAGGTAAGTACAGTTATGTATAGGGTGAAAGAGCTAATACAAACATATCACATGTCAACAAAAGTTTTATACATTTTCAGAAATAGGTTAATAGAGTGTGTCTCAAATAGCTTTGTACACATTGAGGAAAAACTTGTCGATATATTTTATGCCCCTTCGCACATATTTCTATTTTTGTATGTATTCTTTTATTATTTTCGTTTTGTATTTTAATTCTAATTTTAAAACACTATGGGGCATAGCCAGAAATACAGACATGCGACATAGATTCAAGGTGAACATCAAGAACTGGATAAGTAATAGAAGAGTATGATGGAACGATCATATAAGCCGAGTGATAACAAATAGAGTAGTAAAGACGGCAAGAGACGGTTCCCCAATAGGAAGACCGATCAGTAGGAAGACCATGTAAATGATGGAACTACTGAAGCCACATTGAAAAACAGACAGAGTAATGTCTATATAAAGAGAGGAAGATATTTTAATTCTTTAATTAACGTGTGTGTATGTTTTACATATGTAAACTAATATGGTCCTATAAAGATCTCCCATCATATATGTAGATATATATATATATATATATATATATATATATATATATATATATATATATATATATTTATATATATATATATATATATATATATATATATATATATACTTCTAGCGGTTAATATGGGCTCCGTACTAAAACGGTATTATACTAACTCCAGGAGAATATACGCCGTGTATATTATTATCTGAGTAGCGCTTTATGTAGACTCCGACCAATACGTCGGATCAAGTGGACTCCGTAATAGGATCAAACATTTTTGGGATCCGTATATAACTTTTCCCGTACACTTCTTAACTCCTGCGATGTTGCCAATAATTGTATTAGTAGTAGATTTTTAAATTTTATGTGGTACATTTTGGAACCTATTAATATGAACATCGAGTAGCGTAATCGTCTAACAGTTTAAGAAACTCTTCTGTAAGATCTTTATAATTTTTCAATTACTGCAGTTTATGGCGTGTAATATTTATTTCATGAAGTAGTTAAAATTAGACTATAATAATTTATAAATTAATCTTTAATATTAAAATTTTTTGCTGTCTAATTTCAATATGTTGATTTTTAATTAACAAAATATTTGATGCATTAAAGTCGCGTAGCTATTTTCACCAAACATGAAATTTTAAACCTATTAGTATAAAAGTCTAAAAAAAAGTATAAAAATCTAAGGAATTTAATATGGATACACACGTCAGTGTGCTTTTCTCAAGTCTCAAGTTTCTCGAATCCATCAATCATTCATTGTATTTCATATACTTTCATTTTAATCCTCTCCAATCAAGATTTTAAAGCAGGTTTGCTCCATTAGTCCATTTTTATTACTTTTTGTCACTATTTCTCCTTTTTCATTATCATCATCATTACGTGGCGCTACAACACTGGGTGGGTCTTCGCTAACTACAAATTTTCTCCAAGTTGATCGATTTTCCACGAATCTGTAATCAAATGAAATGTTAATATTTTGAGATATAATTGGATGTTTTCTCTCCATTGCTTACTGAGACGCCTACGCGGCATTCTTTCTTCTGTGCTAACTTTCTTCCATACCAGTTTTATAAGTTTGATATATTGGCGTCTATGCATGTGTCCGATCTACCTTAAGCGATTTATTTTTCTGAACAATATCGTTATAAAAGCTTTCTTTATTCAGTATGGGTTCTTATTCTATACGGATTTGTAGCGATATGAAAATGAGGTTAAAACATTTTTCTTATTATTTTTATTTCAAATATTCGTACTTTTTCCTTATTTTTTTTAGTCAATGTCAATGATTCGCATCCATGTATTAAAATAGGTCTAAAATTTGAATTATGCTAAAAGTATTTAGTTATTGACATTATTATTAACAGTGATTATTTATCTAAAATATTTAAAGTATTCCATATTTTTGAAATTGTAGTTGTTAACTTTAATATTTTATCTAGATTTATTAAATTGGTCTTTTCTGTTGATTCGCTTGTATTTGGTTTTCATTTCGTTGATTTTTCGTGCTCTCTTTACTTTATTGAAGATGTTTGCGGACGGGAGAGTTTCTTATAAAATCTATGTCATTAGCATATGCTAGGAGTGCTTTGTACCTTGGGCCTTTAATGAATTACATCTTAAATAGGCGATATTTCCATTTTAGTAAGCTGTTCATTAATTTTTTGACTATTTGAATCGACAATCTGTATTTTATTCGTCTGTTATATCACAGAGTTTCTTGGCGCATATTTTCATTCTTGGTTTTTTGTTTCCCGTATCATTATTACAAAGATTTTTCTGGAGATCGACATAGGGAACCCGGTGGTATGTACATGATGTTTTCATAACCAACATCGAAAATTTGTCTTACTGTAAAGTCATAATGATTTTACTAGGAAATATAGTGTTGTTTAATAATAATAAAGTTCAAGCAACAATTCCTATATGCAATACCTTGGTATGATATTTCTGCTCCACGATACCAAGTAGCAGTCCCGAAAACATTAAAACTGCTACACGCATGTTTCCTATTATCCAAAAATTAGCCAGTCCAGGACTATACTGCCCTCATAAGTGAATAGAATATGTACGGAGGTTTTTGGCAATTTAATAGGATTTTGTGTGTTAGAATATTATTTCTCCAAAAAAGTAAAGAATATTTATTTGCTATCCGAATATAATCCATAAATTAAATATTAGAATGCTATAAAATAATGCTACTAGCAGCAAAAACGGTATAATAGTCACTAATGAGAAAATCAAATACATGTTTTTTAACATACAAAAGAAAGGATGTAGAGTAAGGTATAACGTAACAATAAAGCTATATAATTTTGAAAGATTGCAGCGTTTTAGATATCGTAGATAACGTTGTCACATAAGAAATAAAAGGAAAAATTCAGGTAGCTAACTGATGTATATAGAACCCTTATAACACTTTTAAATACAGAAGCCTAATATAAATCTCTAAAATCAGGATATATAAAACAGTGAACCAGTGCTAATGTGTGGATATGTAACGAGAACGTATTAATTAGATCAGGATTGCTAGAAAAGCCATCAGAGGTATTTCCCGACTTACAAAGGTCCGAGTACTAACCAATACCGAACGAAACTAATGCCAAGGTCAAACACATATATAAAGATAGCAACGAGGTACAAGAACCTAAATCTCAACTCCAAAGTTGCGCTGGCTTTATATCCAAAGGCTCTCTCATTAACTGCATGTCCAAGTTAAATTGGTAGGATGCCTCGAGAGAAAAAATGCCCTTAGGATGTCCACGGATAAAGGGCGCAGATTTAGGAATAATGAGACTACTTACCGACTCATCATATTTATCAACACCTGCTATCCTACCTACAATCAATACATATCTGTTGAGGACTATCAAATCAATTACATGTAATCAAACGAACTAGGCTTAAAAAAAGTATCCTAGGAAAGGCACTTCGGCAATATTGACATATATTTTTAAAACGCCATTTATGTGGCTGAGTTTGCAATAGTAATGAGGAGACAAAAAGGAAGAAATGGTAATAAAATCTTGTTGCGTTCCGACTATACGATGACGATGATCTCTACATAACATATAGGAAGAAATGGAGAATAATGTCTATGTTCAATTTAGAACTCGTTGGTTTTTTTCCCTTTCGAATTGGGTATGTATATGTATTACCATAGAAAAAATAAAAAAAAAACTATAATTATGAAACTCTATCTAAAATAGTAAAATCGATAAACAAATTATATAAACAAAAAGATTATATAAATCCCTAATATTTAAACAGACTGCTTTACAAAAGGTGAACAAATAAGCATAAATAAATTGTCAACAAAATAAATCAGAAGAATATGACACAGTATATTGTTTAAAAAGAATTCTTATGTGACTATGCTAAAATATGATACGATCGGAAAAACGGCAATGACTTTTACAGCTGATTGCCACATAAATATTAATGTAACGCAAATATGATGATATTGCCTCGTACTGTTATATAGCAATTTGTTGTTACATTGCTGAAAGTTACTTGATGGAAATTCATTGTATCTAACAATAAAACAAGTATGCGTTTACACGTTATAGATTGTAACTGAATAAGTTGAGGAGGGGAAAACTGTTTGTCCCAAGTTGGTATTCAGAATTATGTCTGTATTTTGTAATTTGCCAATTTCCATAGGTTTAAATTTTCATGGATATCACTAGACTCGAGAGCAGTGTATGATTCCTTAGTTATGTTTTTAAAGGATAGTAAAATAACCTTCTAAATAATTATGCATTAGTTTATAACGTAACCGTTGTTTCTAACCCAATTGTCAAATTCCTTTCTTACCGTGGCCTAGTGTTGTACGTCTTTTTAAAAAATGCCTTGATGGGCCTCTAGGCGAGAAGAGAGTGACCCTGTTTACCTGTCTTTTGTTTTGTATATTTATTAATATAAACTCAAACAACTATTTGTACCATGTTGAGTCTGGCTGAATGACTAAAAGTGTATGCCAAAAAAATTTCATAGAATCTAAAGACAGATTAAGGCCTTTATTATAAATATACTTTTTAGTAATGAAAATAAGTAAATAGAACCTAGAATATCCATGTAAAAGAATGTAATCTTTGATCTCTGGGATAAACTCATTCCTGAACAATGGCGGCGATATATATGTAGTTAAAATTTTGTACACCTATTTTAACCTGTTTGTTTCCTTATTATCCATATATGAGTTGTGACCGATGTTACAAACTCATTTACTTTTTACAAAGAGGCTATATAAAGTAAATACTTTGTCATTTTTTATGGAGTTCAACGTAGAAGCCTTCCGAAAATTTAAGTACTAATAAGACCACCGCAATCGGGCGTACAATCACTTGTCCAATATGAGTTTTGCCAAATCGGTCCTTTTTAGGACCAACTATTCTATAGAGATAAAGTAAACTATATCTAGAGATAAAGACAATTCATAAGCCTGATGGAAGGTGTAATAAAT